CCTTTTCAGGTTTGTAAAAGATCTGTCTTGCTTGTTCATAGCTCCAGTCACCAGATTTGAGTATCCAAAGATTTGGCAGACTTCGCTATTAGAATATAAGATAGATGTAGATTATTTAGCCTGTTATCTTAACATATAAATGAAGATTGTTCTTCGTAAAGTAAAGTGTAGGTAGGGTTTTAAAAAGACTAAGGTGTAATAGAAAATCAGCATAAGAGTCATGTGAGATGACTAGTTGCCTTAGGATATCCAAATTACCCTTCAGTGGCCTGATGAATAAAAGTAATAGGCTGGTTTTGCTCAGTTATGTCCAACTAGAAGTAAAGCCTGTTGTAGGAAGAAATACAATGAGCTTTAGAAAGAGGCTCCAGGTGAGTGTCCCGGCTGTGGCTGGTGGGGTGGCGGAGTGAAGGGAAAAATAGAGGGAGGCAAGCCATTTTTATTCCTCACACCAAGTTCTTGTCAATGAACTTGCAGAGCTCCTCCTTCTCCCAAGGGCTCATTGCATATAATTTCCCTTTGGGTAGTTTTGTGTTTGGGAGTAACTCAATGGCACAGTCTGAGTGTCTGTGGGAAGGCAATTTGTCAGCCTCCTCTTCTTCAAACACTCACAGCAGATCATGGTACTCTACTGGGATAGAGTCCATCTCCTCAGCTGCTAGGCATGCCCTGGGCGGTTCGTCTGGAGGGGTCCCTCCCCATGACTGTTCCCAAACGTGAGGCACTTGGGGGAAATGAACTTCACCACTCCCTCATCCCACATAATCTATGGACCATGGCCATGGAGCCACGGGCTCCCCAGCACCATGGGAAAGCTTGTGGCCACAGTGATAACGAAAGTCTGGTGTTCCCAATGAGACCCTGTTCCCATTTGTAAAGGCACAGTCTCGTATTTACAGGGCTCTGTCATAGCAGACCTGTCCATTTGGGTGAATATAATGGGGTTTGCCAACCGGACTACTTTTGCCCCTAGTCCCATCACTAGAGAGGGGTGTATTAAGTCTCGGCCACAACCGGAGTCTATGAGTGCTCGCATCTGTACATGGGTACCAAGCTCCAGGTTCAGCACAGTCACAGTGACAAAAAGGGGGGGATATCCACTCACCGTTTTTGGTGCCTCGGGGTTCGGGACCTGCTGTTCCACGCTGCTTAGTGCAGGTCCATCGCGTTTCCCGTCAGCTGATCCTCATCTTCACTGGATGAGTTCAGATCCTCTTCTGGAACACTGGCTTGCAGAGTCCTTGGGTTTTTTGGTTTGGTCACGGTTTTCTTCGTTGGGGTGTCAGCATGTTGTTTCTCCAGGGCCTTCGTCATTGCTCCTTGGGTTCCCACCCCCGGGCAGGAGGCTGCGAAGTGGCCTGCAAATCTTGACAGATGAACAAATAACACACTTCAACTTGAGCACTTCAAGCAAGTGACCCACCCCCAAAGCATATCAAGACTGCATGGTTTTGAGAGAAAGCGAACTAGGTATACATCCGGGGACGTGCTAAAAGGAAGGACAGGATTGCCCATTGGAAATAATGGGAGACAGGAATGCTAATTGACTTGCATGGGTGCCAGTGAAATACATTACAGCTCAAGAAGAGTTGCAAAGAAAATGCGTAATGGATTTTCCATTAAGGTCTCTGGTCTCAAATACACTACTCTGGGACTGGAATGGCAGGCCCCACAGTGGAATGACAGCTCCTGGGGGTAGGAGCAGTGTTCTGGGACTGAAATAACAGGCTCCAGAGGGGAATGACAGCCCCTGGAGTTAGCAGATGTGTCCGGGGACTGGAATCACATGTCCCAGAGTGGAATGACAGCCCCTGGGGGTAGCAGATGTGTCCGGGGACTGGAATCACATGTCCCAGAGTGGAATGACAGCCACTGGGGGTAGCAGACGCTTGAAGACCCATTGGAAAAAATGGGAGCCAGGAATGGCAATTGACTTGCTTGGGCTCCCTTGAAATACATTATAGTACAAGTAGAGTTGCAATAAAAATGTGGAATGGATTTTCCATTAGGGTCTCTGGGCCCAAATACACTACTCTGGGAATGGAATGAAACCACAGAGTGGAATGACATCTCCAGGCTGTAGCAGGAGTGTTCAAGGACTGGAATGACAGGTCCCAGAGCGGAATGACAGCCCCAGGGTGGAGTGGGCGAATTTAACTCAGAAGACCATTATATCTACTACTGTGGCCAGGAATCTCGTAGAAAAAATGGTGTGGCCTTTATAGTCAACAAGAGAGTGCAAAAGGCAGTACTGGGATACAATCTCAAAAATGACAGAATGATTTCTGTCCGATTCCAAGGCAAACCATTCAACATCACAGTAATCCAAGTCTATGCCCCAACCACTGATGCAGAAGAGGCTGAAGTGGACCGGTTCTATGAAGACCTACAACACCTCCTAGAACTAACACCAAAAAATGATGTCCTCATCATCATAGGGGACTGGAATGCTAAAGTAGGAAGTCAAAAGGTAACTGGAATAACAGACAAGTTTGGCCTTGGAAAGCAAAATGAAGCAGGGCAAAGGTTAACAGAGTTTTGTCAAGAGAACACACTGGTCATAGCGAACACCCTTTTCCAACAACCTAAGAGGCGACTCTACACATGGACATCACCAGATGGGCAACACCGAAATCAGATTGACTATATAATTTGCAGTCAAAGATGGAGAAGCTCTATCCAGTCAGTAAAAACAAGACCTGGAGCTGACTGTGGTTCAGATCATGAGCTACTCATTGCAAAATTCAGACTTAAACTGAAGAAAATCGGGAAAACCATGAGGCCATTCAGGTTTGACCTAGATCACATCCCTGATGAATATACAGTAGAGGTGAAGAATAGATTCAAGGGTCTGGATTTGATAGATAGAGTGCCTGAAGAACTATGGACAGAGGTTCGTGACATCGTACAGGAGGCAGCAATCACCACCATCCCAAAGAAAAAGAAATGTAAGAAAGCAAAGTGGCTTTCTGATGAGGCTTTACAAATAGCAGAGGAAAGAAGGAAAGCGAAAGGCAAAGGCGAAAAGGAAAGATTTACCCAACTGAACGCAGATTTCCAGAGAACAGCAAGGAGAGATAAGGAGGCCTTCCTGAATGAACAGTGCAAAGTAATAGAAGAAAACAATAGAATGGGAAGGACTAGAGATCTCTTCAAGAAAATTGGAGAAATCAAGGGAGCGTTCCATGCAAAGCTGGCCATGATAAAGGACAAAAACGGTAGGGACCTAACAGAAGCAGAAGAGATTAGGAAAAGATGGCAAGAATACACAGAAGAACTATACAAGAAAGACCTCAATGTCCTTGACAAACACGACGGTATAATCACTGACCTTGAGCCAGACATCCTGGAATGTGAAGTTAAATGGGCCTTAGAAAGCATTGCTAACAACAAAGCTAGTGGAGGTGATGGTATTCCAGCTGAGCTATTCAAAGTCTTAGAAGATGATGCTGTTAAAGTGCTGCACTCCATTTGCCAGCAAATTTGGAAAACGCAACAGTGGCCACAGGATTGGAAAAGATCAGTATACATTCCAATCCCAAAGAAGGGCAACGCCAAGGAATGTTCAAACTATCGCACAATTGCACTCATATCACACGCTAGCAAGGTCATGCTCAAGATCCTACAAGCTAGGCTTCAACAGTACGTGGATAGAGAACTACCAGAAGTACAAGCTGGGTTTCGAAGAGGTAGAGGAACGAGAGATCATATTGCCAACATTCGCTGGATTATGGAGAAAGCAAGAGAGTACCAGAAAAATATCTACTTCTGCTTCATTGACTATGCTAAAGCTTTTGACTGTGTGGATCACAACAAACTATGGCAGGTCCTTAAAGAGATGGGAGTACCAGACCACCTCACATGTCTCTTGAGAAACCTGTATAAGGGCCAAGAAGCGACAGTTAGAACCGGATATGGAACAACTGATTGGTTCAGCATAGGAAAAGGAGTACGACAAGGATGTATATTGTCGCCTTGCTTATTTAATATATATGCAGAGTACATCATGCGAAATGCTGGCCTGGATGAATCACAAGCGGGAATTAAGATTGCTGGGGAAAAGATCAACAACCTCAGATATGCAGATGATACCACTCTAATGGCTGAAAGTGAAGAGGATCTAAAGAGCCTCTTGCTCAGAGTAAAAGAGGAGAGCGCAAAAGTGGGCTTGAAGCTCAACATCAAAAAAACTAAGATCATGGCATCCGGCCCCATCACTCCTTGGCAAATAGAAGGGGAATTCGTGGAAGTAGTGACAGACTTCATGTTCCTGGGATCCCAAATCACCGCAGACTGTGACTGCAGCCATGAAATTAAAAGACGCCTGCTCCTTGGGAGGAAAGCGATGGCGAACCTAAACAGCATGATAAAAAGTAGAGACATCACCCTGCCAACAAAAGTCTGCATGGTCCAAGCAATGGTATTCCCAGTAGTCATGTATGGCTGCGAGAGTTGGACTATAAGGAAGGCCGAGCGCCGAAGAATAGATTCTTTTGAACTATGGTGCTGGAGAAGACTCTTGAGAGTTCCTTGGACTGCAAGGAGATCAAATCAGTCAATCCTCAAAGAAATCAACCCTGACTGTTCCCTGGAAGGCCAGATAATGAAACTGAAGCTCAAATACTTTGGCCACCAAATGAGAAGGGAGCACTCACTGGAGAAGACCCTGATGCTGGGAAAGATTGAAGGTCAAAGAAGACGGGGACGGCAAAGGATGAGATGGTTAGACAGTGTCATCGATGCAACGAACATGAAGTTGAGCCAACTTCAGAGGACAGTGGAAGACCGGAAGGCCTGGCGGGAGCTGGTCCATGGGGTCACGAAGAGTCGGACTCGACTGTGCGACTGAACAACAACAAAGAGTTCAAAAGAAAATAGAGGTGTATCTGTGTCCCCCTCCCTCCTGCTTTGCCTTCAGCCCCTATCGGTCCCCGCCCCTGTGGTCTGAGACTCTGCCAACTCAGTCAGTCCCCCTCCAAACTGCCCAGGATGGAGCAAAGTGCACGTGCACTTCGATGCTAGCGCGCCTCAGCTCACCCAGCCACGTGAGTTCAACAGTTCCCACTCCAGCCACCAGGGCGACGGTGGGTAATTCCATTGGGAAGGAGTGGAGGGAATAGCCAGAAAAAGTGAGAAAATGGCACAACCTCCCCCCCAGTTAAAAGATCATGATGCCTCTGGCTGAGGAGCCAGCAGCGACAGGCAGGAGAAGGGCTTTGGGGCTGGTGAGGGAGGGGAGGGAGAGGAGCAGGAGAGCGCTTCTTTTTGGACACCACACCTCCCCCCCCCCGTGTTTTTAACCCATTAAGTGGCGTCTGATTCTTGAGAATGAGCTTCTCCATCAGGGACTTTGAAACTGGCCGCTGTTCTGCCTTGTATTACAAACAAAAAACGGGGGCAGACTGCACCAGTATGTGGTCGCCCAGGGCTCCCCCTGCTTGCTGGCTAGTGTGAGCAGAAATTTTACCCTGTGAGCCAAAAGTGGTGCTAGCATTAAAACTGTGAGGGGGCCGACATTTTTTTAAAAAATTATTTCAGTGTACAAACGTACAAAACATACAAACATAATACATATTGTATTATAAGCCATATATTTACATTAAACTTATTTATATGGAATATATTTGTATTACTGATATGACTCCCAGTTTTTAGCAAGGGGGCTCCCACGGCCAAGCCCCCCCTTGAGACAGGGAGCTGCCTCCCGTTTTCGGCTGCTTGGCCACCATGTTCCTGTTGCTGGGCTGGCTGCTGTGCTCCCAATTGTCTTTCTGCTGTGGCAGAGCAGCCCATAGGGATTTGCACCCAAGCTGCACCCCCAAGAAAGATCAGTGGGTGAGCAGCAGCAGCACAGTGCACCCCCTCCCCTGACCGTACTGCTGCGCACTGGAGTACTCAGCGGCCAGCGAGGGGGCCTGGCTGGCAGCTGCAGCAGCACTGGGAGAGCTCTCCTGCTGCTGCACCCACCAGAGAGAGGTGCCCAGGCTCGGAGGAAGCCACGACTTCCATCCCCACCAACAAAACTTCTTTGCCCATCGGCCTGGCAGGTGTGACCAGACCCCCCCCCCCAGGGTGAGGCAGGAGCCGGGCTTGGGCAATGCAGGGAGAGGAGCCCTGCAGTCAATGGCGGGACAGTGGTGGGGCGGCCGGGGGAAGCGGCATCAGGAGGGGAGCGATGGAAGGCATCAGGAGGGAAGCGAAGGACAGCTGCTGGGGGCATGCCCAAGCCCCACTGCGGCACAGGCCGCAGGGGCCCAGAGGAGTGCGGGCAGCGAGGATGGGGACCAGCCAGCAAGCAGACGGGGAGACACTGAGAGCCGCAGGAGCCGGTCCCACAGCTAGTTGAGGGGCCGCTCCTGAAGAGGCAAAGCCCTCTTCTCCCCCCCCCCACCCAAAGGGAAGAGAAACAGCCCGGGAATGAAAAGAGGTGCACGCAGCCTCCCCTGCAAACACATGGGGATCCCAGCCTGGCCATTCTAGCTGACCTCCTCCCCACATCCCCAGACAAAACAAATAACCAAGAGACTCACCTCACGAAGGGAAGAAGCTGGGCAACAGAGCAATCCTCTTGTATCTCCAAGAGCACGAGGCAGGGGACTGCAGGCCCGGGCAAAGCAGCAGCATCCCCTTTCATAGGGCAAGCAAACCCTGGCTGAGGGGAGGCGGGGCCAGCCCAGACTATGAAACAAATCTTACTGCTGTGTTTCTGTGCTGCCTGGGCAAATGGATCCGTGCTGCATGGCCATTGGGAGGGGAACCTCCTGCCCCTGCGCTGTGAAAAAAATTGCTGCACTGGTCACGGGAGATTGGTGCACCAGCGCAGCCTGGCGCAGCTTAAAGGGAACCTAGCTTACTGTTACTTCCCCCCCTCTCTACTGAAGGACCTCTCTCTAGACCACATTGGTGGTTCTGCCCTCAGGTGCTAGGATCACTAGGCTGCTTGATGAGCTCACTCTGGAGCAGGCCACATAGAATTGTCCATTTAAGAAGCAGTTGTCTGCTAAGTCAATTCCTGCTACCTTCCATGAAAGTGATGGCCTCTTTGCTTGTGTTCCTGGATTGTTTTGCTCATATGGAGACTCTGTTGTTCTGAGCACCTCAAGGTGGTCTTGCTGGTACTTGGCCTGTGTAGCTCAGTGCACTGCAGGAGTACTATGTGCAAATGTATTTGCCGCATTCCTAAGTTGTCTCCTCCTTGTAGCATTGGTGTATCTGGCTCAACGTTTGCCAGGAGCTTTCTTGGGGGCAGTAAGAGGTGAGAGGTGTGAGGGGGAGTTGGTGTGAGGGAGTGATGATGTGGTGGACATTTCTTCAGGTTCATGAGGGAGGCACACATCGAAATGGCTCCTAGAAATGTCCTTTACTATCTCCCCATAAACATTAATACCCTGGCCCTGCTCCTACACCTGACAGACACCAGCCTGTCTGGTGCTGGGGGGGGGATTGTATTTAAAGGCATCAGGGATGCTGGGCCAGCAGCAGCAGTGCTAAGGCTGAGCAAACCTCCCTGGCAGCTGAAGGCATCCAACTTCCTCTCCTACACCTGACAGGCAGCTGCCTGGCCAGTGTAGGAGAGGAGGGGGGGAGTAATAGAAGCCACTGTGGAGGTGGGGCTGCACCTGACAGACAACTGCCCGTTAGGTGTAGGAGGTGGGGGGAGTGTGTTGGAAGCCATCAGAGAGGCTGGGCCAGCAGCTTTGCTTCACCTCACAGGTGGTTCTTGGCCACTCCTGATTTCCTCAACTCTCATTAGCTCTCTGCAGTCCCCTGTAACTGTTGGGGTTTTTTACCTCAGAACACTGAGCTCTGCAGCTGACCAATCAGAGAGTGGGGGGTGAAGAGAGGCAGCCGCCTAGCAGCCACATAGGAATCAGTGGGGGGAGCACATTTTCCCCCCTTTGACCCACTTAGGGGTCGAATTTCTAAAAATCTCTTCTTAGCAAGCACCTACGCCATGGTAGGAGCGCTCTCCCCGAATCTGGTGTCTCTAGGTCCAGCGGTTTGGCCTGGGCGTTGATTTTATGGTGAGGGGACTTTCTTTTATATATATATAGATGAGTCCGGCCCCTGGACCTGCGCAAAAAAGTCCATGCACTCAGCAAATGTTGTGGGCTTTGGTGAAAGGTGGTCAGTCAGCGCTTTCACCAGCACCACATAGGACTTGTCCTTGGTCTGCTTAGGCGCAATGAGGTCCTTGAGCAGCAAGATGGTGTCTATGCCACAGGACTGGAGGAGATGGGCTTTCTTCTTACCCAAGTCTACGATGTCATGGCAGTCGAAGTAGCTCTCCAGGATCTCGAGCCAGGTCTCCCAGTGTGCAGGGCGGGAGATGTCAAAAGTGGCGATACTTTCCTGGGAGGTAGCCATCATACTGCTTCCACGTGGTGAGGGTAGCTCGGGAATGGCAGTGGCTGGAGCGAGGCCAGAAGCGCTGCTGCTCTCGGGGTCAGCAGGGCACGGTACAGAGCGAGGAGCGGAGCGAGGAGCGGAGCGTGAGCGGCTACCGGAGAACCAGGGCATGAAGCGGAGCGGCTTGCGGCGGTCTCAGTGGTGGGGCTCGATGCGGTGCTCGAATCTTCATCCGTGTCGTTGTTCATGGGAATTAGAATCCCATCCTCGTCGCCAGTGAAAAGTACTGAGACTTACTAACGATTTCAGGTCTCATACTTTTATTTAGTTCAGAACAAGACAAACTACCCAGCTCACAGGCCGGTTTATATGTGCAACAACCCCGCACCCAAAACACACCCACACACAAGTGATTGGCTATTTACAGTGTCCGAGAGTACCATAGGTTCTCGGCCGGGAGCCTAGCCCGCTTGTCCCATTGTTACTGCGAGTGAAGCTCGGCTGCTTCACATGACCACGTGGCGAATTAGCCACACACGCGGTCGGAGGTGGATATATTACAGTTACACTTTATTAGAATATACAAATGGAGGACCCAGAGAACTCACAGGAAGGTACAGGAAGAGTCTGATTACCCCAATTCTCTTCCCTTTAGTCAGAAAGAACATTGTTCTCTCTATACACCTTCGGATTGTTCTAGAATTTGTACAGAACCTGGGTTCGATTCAGTAGACTGAAGTGGAATTAAAAAAAAGAGAGAGAGAGTATTATCATGCAAGCAAAAATAGAATGAACTGGAATGTGATTTGTGCCTTGTGCTGCACATGCATCTTGGAAGGACAATGTAAAAAAATGGGAAGGTTAGTTTAAGATGAAGAGAACATGGTTACATGATAAGTGTTGCCAGTACATAAATTTGTTGGGAATCTGACAGAGGTGGTTTGCAGGATAATCCTGGGTGGGGTTACCCCAGTAAATGCTTTGAAATCAATGTGTTTGGATTCCAATAACTTCATAAAATTACAGTGTTACCTTTCTATTTTGGGGGGGAGGTCCTTGTTAACATTATAATTGAAGAGGATGTTAAGCATAACATGATATGTTTTAATGATCTCCCAATATGGATTGGATGGACTTTCCTCACTAGGTGCCGCAGTCAGTGGATTGCGTCAATATGCTGGTTATTCCCAGAAGTATGGCCAGAGAGAGCCTTAGTAGTTTAAAAGGTAAAGGTGGATAAAGAACATAATTAAAGCTACAGATATATTTCTGTATGAAACAAAAGCAAGTTCTCCAGCATGTCCAAAGCATGAATGAAAATAAAATACCACAACAACCGGACAGTCCTTCAAATAACTCCAGCCGCAAACTCTGCTCCTTTAGGTAGAATGACCATTGCACTTTTAAACTGACAGGTGGCTGGAAACAGCAGCCCTTCTAAAACCTTGTTGCAATCGATCCCAGATGTGCTTGAGCGTTCAAGATAGGATGGTCTTGTGCACTTATTACTCAGGGGTGAGAGGAATTTCCTCAGTACAAGCTCAGAGACATTTTTTAAATAAAAAATTCTAAATTTCGCCCCTCTAGTGTTCTTAACTACCGCCGGAATTTGTCCCCCTTTAGGGGTGACGACCTAAGAACCAAGCAACACCCTCCCGCCGTGCCGGTCCCCTCTGGCTCCTGTGCCGTCCGGCAGACCGGGGGTGTGTGTGTGTGTTTTGCCCGTGGTGAAAAGAGCTTGCGCGCTGCAGCCGCTCGCTTCTCCCCGGGCCGCTGAGTCGCAGGCGTTGAGGAGCTGGCGCCGCCTGCGAGCTGGTGGCTGCGACCGCTCGATGCCTATTTTAGTCAAAAGCTTCGGGTGCCGCCAGTGTAATTCGCGCAGGTTCCTCTAGCAGGCGCAGAGGGTCGAGAGGGCGCTCGAGTGGCAGCTTTCCGGTTGGT